AACTAAACAAAGTACAAAAAAATTCAACGTTGTGTAATTAACCCTTTCAGGCACAGCGCTTACTACAGTGGACAGCTTATCATGTTATCAGGTTACAAGTTATCATTATTGATGCATGAAAGGGTTAAAACAACCAAACAATTTCCTAAGGGCCGCTCGTTTAATGTTAACACTAAACAGCAAGTGTGTTGCGGTGCTTTAACCCTTTAACTGATTCAACGTGAGCTATTTTCAGATCCTCCTTTGACCCTCTTTTGTGAAAAACATAAAATACATAAATAAGTCACTGGGATTAAGGGTTGAACACAACTTGTAGATAGACAAAATAACAGCACTTGCACTCGGGTATTCTTTATCATCTGTGTAGAATGACGAAGTTCCGTTCGGTGGAGCTGAAAGTCAGGTGACGGCAGAAGAATACAATCATTGTGCGTCAATTCAATCCGAGTTAGGCTCGCTTTGGCTATGCTCCTTGTCCGGGCAGGAAGCGGGAGGGGCCACCCCGCTCAGGTTTGGTATCACCGGGCCAACGAAACCCGCAACCTGATCCCGAGTCTGACCCAGTTTCACCACACCGACCCCACTTAGCGACCTTTTCGCAGCCCTGCGTGCGTGGCAGTGATGCTAACACAAGAGCTTCTGTCGCTCAGTCGGAAGCAAAAACACCTTTTTGCCTTCGTCTGCAGCCCACCGCTCGCAAAACACTTCCCGCGAGGGGAAAAAAAAACCTCTTCAAATTGTCTGCTGCTTTTTGCGACTTGAAGGTTGTTCATTTTCGGTCACCGCTGAGCAATGAAGAGAAAATAACAAGAGGGCCCCGCTCGAATGTGGTTTTTGATGAATGTTGTGATGGTTTTTGGATTACGCAACATGGTTTGCATCTGTGCTGTTAGCAAACATTCCCAAGGGTGCTGACAAAAATAACCGGGCGAGTAAATCTAGTGAGCCACATTAATAAACCAACCCCGTCATGTCGGAGATCGGTGGTTGTCAAACGTTTTGCGCTACTTCCACCGAAATAAATGGTTAGCTCTCCAAGTACCACAATCATAATGACCAACATCAGTGCGGTAGGCCAAAGGGTTCATCTGAAACGAGACACGGGCTTTATTCCTAAAAAGTTCAAGTTGAAAAATGTCCAGGTTTATTTTTTCTTCTTTCTTCCCTTTGATTCAGGTCTAAAGTGTCAATTTTTTGCCCAAAATACATGTTAAAAAACAAAGAGTGCTTCAAGAGTAAATGCAAATGTGATGAATTTAATTATACTTGGGTAGTGATTCATTTTTATTGTATTTTTTTGCATAGCACACTTTGAGAATCACTTTTTTAGATTTTCCCTGACTTGACGTCTTACATGGAGTCCCATAACGCAGCTGTTAAATTACCGCTTCATAAAGCCTGCGTCCTGTCAAGTTCCAAATTGAGTCTTTAGCGTTGCACTATAATGAGCTGTGTACAAACCAAAAACAAAAAAAACAAAAAAACGCTCATATTTTATATTTCTACTCCGCACTGTGCAACATGAAATAATGATGGAAGCTATTTTGCCCATCCGGTATTTCTCTCGGTTTCCCGACTGGATGTTGTTCCCCTCTCATGCTTTGACGCGTGATGACTCATGATGAGGCCCTCTTATTTCATGCGTGGCTTGAAACAAAAACATTAGCAGAAAAAGCTCTTAACACACTTCTCCCGCCCCCACCACCCCCCACACACCTTGCCTTCCAAGCATGACAATATGCTGACCTGAGTGCATTTGCCTCGGCATCTTTTCTTTCCTCTGAATTCCTTGGTCCAGGTCTCGTCTGGTGTGGCCCGTGCCTCTCGCTTTTTGTCTCTCCCACCTTTGAAGCATCTGCAAGCGAAGTAATAGACTGTCGGAGGAAAATGCTTACGAGTGATTGTGTGCGGGTGACTAAAATGACAATCCTCCACCTCCCCGGTCCAATATTTAACAACGAAAAGCAGCATAGGAACTTCGAGTTGGACGCTAAACGCTACACAGCTCAGGGTGCAAAAAAAATGTACGGTGGGCGTTCGATGACGACATGAATGCGATAACATCCCTAACGGGCCGCTTTTTGACGTGCCGTCGCGGCTGACCCAAGAATAGCCTCCATGTTGCGGCAAATCGCGCACAATTTGTAATCGGTGTTCTATGCAAAGCTGATGGAGAAAATGCCAAGGATTTCCTCGCTGCTATTGAGGGCGGTTAATCCTCCGTGGATGGATATGTAAATATGACCAAGAATGGATGTGCCTTGCTGGAACACTCAAACTTGGTGAGAATAAACCAATACTGCTTTTTGCTTGTTGCGAGAAACAGTGATTGGAGTTACATGTTACTCAAATCTAATCCTTTAATTTTTTTCTTTTTTTTTTTTTTTGTCATCTGACTATAGTTGACATTTTGTTTGAGTTTGGCAATGAACAGAGATGGCAAGCAATTGACCGTAAACTTAGCATCACTTCACATCACGCAGTACGTGGAGCCATACGAATAATCGAGAAAGAATAAAACACAGGAGGGGACCCAATCGGCAGAAAAAAAGACAACAACTTGACATAACATGTGAACAGCCCGTACTTGTGTCAACCGGTTCGTGACGAAAGAAAGATTGGGCGCCACCGTTTTACATGCTTTAGTACAGGGGTGTCAAACTCATTTTTGTCGCGGGCCACATTGTCGTTACGGTTTCCCTTGAAGGGCCGTTATGGCTGTGAATTTTGTTTGGCAAAATGTTGAACCTCTTTCACATATGACATACACAGCGAACAACAAATTGATGGACAACTTGTTTTGAAATCAGAAGTCAAGAAGAATGGCATATTCAAAAATGGTTGTTATGGATTAGATATGACAATTTGAAATTTTGGTTCAAAAATGGTTGCTATGGATTAGATACGACAATTTGAAATTTTGGTTCCGACTTTAGCAAGCATCACGGAAGTTGACATGATTGATTTGGTTTCGCGGCCCACATAAAATGATGCGGCGGGCCAGATCTGGCCCCCGGGCCTTGACTTTGACACCTGTGCTTTGGAGCGACTCCTTTCACACAACAGCAAGCATCTCCGTAAACCGTCTGAAGAATATGGATCTTGAGAAAACTGCTGCTCGAAGACTTCAAATTCTTCTTGTCGCTGCGCTAATCCTCGTCAGGGTTTTAATCATCGAGATGGAAGTTGATACCTCGCGCGATTTACTCTCTGATTCCCAATCGTGTCATAAAGTGTTCATCAGGAGAGGAGATAGAGAGCGGCAAGGCATGGAAGGCACGTGAGCCCCGGCCTGATCCTTGTCGCCGACTCCAAGCCATCTGGGCCCCATGACGCTGTCTCCATCCTGCTGAGTCTTGATCAAGACACACACAATTTATCCATTTCAAAAGGCTGCCAGAGAGGCTGTGGTGCTCCCTTGCCCGCGGGCCGCTGCGGCTGCCCTCAAAGCCATGCGCATTCTGTCCAAAATTCCACACCTCGCTTTCTCCCTGTGGCTTTTATTGTGGGCGGTCAGAGAGCCAAGAAACGTGTGTGAAGGTCGTGGAAGCTTGAATGCTTTGAGCAGACTCGGGACACAAATAGATTACTTTTGAATGGATTTTACCTTATTCAATTTCTGGAGTTGATAGAAACAGATTTTAGAAACAGTTTATATACCGTATATGTTTGCATGTTCTCCCCGGGCCTTGCGTGGGTTTTCTCCGGGTACTCCGGTTTCCTCCCACATTCTAAAAACATGAAAACATGCATGGCAGGCTCATTGAACACTCGAAATTGTCCCTCGGTGTGAGCGTGGATGGTGGTTCGTCTCTGTGTGCCCTGCGATTGGCTGGCAACCGGTTCAGGGTGTCCCCCGCCTACTGCCCGAAGACGGCTGGAATAGTCTCCAGCACCCCCGCGACCCTTGTTGAGGATAAGCCGATGGGAAAATGGATGGATTTGTATTTTTTTTTTTTTGCCTAACCTACCTGATGGGTATGCAGATTCTGAACCTAAGAAGCATGTTTTTGGGGCACCCAAAGTTTTTGGATTACGGATTGCGGATTACTTCATGTCAGAGTTCTTTGAGTACCATTGACGTGAAATTCCGTCGTAGTCAGCTGCCCTCAATTACCTTTTTGGGCGGGGGGGGGGGGGAACTTTTGCCCACCCGGGTGTTCATAAGCTGGGAAAATTACCCCCCCCACCCCCTCCCAAAAAAACTATTTCCAACCGATGCTTTTGATCTGCCTCTGATATTGTCGCTGATTGATGACGTAAGAAATCAGCTTGCATGCATGTGGGAAGATAACAAGAGAATCTCAAAACAACGCCTACGCACGCTCAGTGATGACACAACGGCTTCCTGAACGGCTTCATGTCTCACTGAGATCGCATTGCCGCTGGTTAGTAGTTATTCAGAACACAGATAAAGGATACTCTACAGTTACAGTATGTGCATGGGCAGGCGAAAGTATTCTCCTCTTCTGTCCCACCCAACATGCAGCAGCTCTAAGCTATCACGTAAGTAAGAGCTTTAAAACTGCCCAGTCAGGGAAAAAAAAAAACGACTGACAGGCAACATGCATGCACACACACGCCACTTCGTTTCTATTGACTCCTTTTGGCCGTGTCAGCGCAAGCAAACGAAATCATAAGGACGAGTCGCCGTGTGGAAATGAATGAATGACATCTTGATTTTTGAATTGAATTGATTGTGTGACCACGCTGGGAACCCGGATCCCTCGTGCACGCAATTTTCTTTTTTTTTTTTTTAAATAGCACCGTCCCGTACAGCAGAAAGGAGCGTGTATGCGCGTGCAGGAAATGACATGTTGGCAGACACACTTCTAGCAGTTCCTGAGTCAGAACCGTGACTTGGTTGGCACACATTATTCAATTATGCACTGATGCATTTGAGCCAGCATCACCCTGAAGGTGTTTTTTTTTTCTTTGCGTGTGCTTGATTGGCAATTTTTCCTGCTTGTGTTGACATGATCCTCATTGTCATTCTTCAGGCAGACGCGTGAGCAGCAAACGCCTCCAGACTTCTTTTACTTCTCCGACTTCGAGAGGCACAACGCTGAGGTCGCCGCCTTCCACTTGGACAGGTGAGCATGAGTGTTGCTCTCTTTTCCATAAGCTTTTCAGGGGAGTGAGTGAGAGTTTGGGATTTTTTGAGGGGGTGTGGGGGGGTTGGTAAATGATCCTTTTCAACTTGTTCCGGGAAAGACAGGGTCACACCTGTTCATCCGTGCAGACGGCGGCGCATTAGAAGCAAAGGTACGATGTAAATAGACTTAAACGGTGAATATTTGAATGGGATTTGAGCACATGAAGGATTAGATGAGCACACTGAGCGCCGGGATCATCTCTTTCTAATCGCCGTTGAATTTGTGGATTTTTTAACATGATCCCTTTACGCGACAAGCTAAAATTACAAATCTATGAATCACTCCAGCGCAGGTTTATAAAGTTAGACATGCCTGCTTTGGTTTTTTTTTTTAGCTCAGGAAACACACCACACACCACACACG